TCAGAGAAGGTTATCGGGAGTCCTTGGCCTGGGTTCCCATCCTGGTTGCATACTTAAGAGCTGGATTACGTTGAGCCTGTTATGAATTTCTCTGTGGCTCACCTTTAACTTCTGTGAAGTGGAATAGAAATGAACAACAGAGACAAGTAATGTTTGATGGGTTCCCATCCTGGTTTCATACTTAAGAGCTGGATTACGTTGAGCCTGTTATGAATTTCTCTGTGGCTCACCTTTAACTTCTGTGAAATGGAATAGAAATGAACAACAGAGACAAGTAATGTTTAAAGAGCTTAGTTTGTGCCAGGCACAGTTCTCCTGGCTTTACATACAACTCACTTCTGGATGGTAAGAGCAGCTCCTATGGGGATATTAAACAACTTACTACATCTGAAGACCTGGTAACACAATCTGGAGAGTAGTACAAAGCTCAAGCATATTATGTATTTATTTTTTATTATTAATGTAATTGTTATCGGCATAGCACGTGAAAGCATTTTGTTAATATGTGACATTATTAACTATTTTTGAAACTCATTATTAATCATTTTAAAGATTATCTGTGTAACCCTTCTTTAAGTGCTTGGACAGCATTCCAATAACTTTTCAATCCTTGTTAATTTTTCTTCTTAGAGTAACATTACTTATTTTTACAATGTTTCAAAAGGTTAAGAATATCTTGAAAAGCATTCTCAGGTTTTTCAAATTTTTCTTGTTTTCAGAGTTCGAATTATATTACCAGGCTGTCAAATATTTGAATTCCAACTACATGTCCTCAGAAGGACTCCTTTTCGGAAAAGGAAAACTACATCAATCTCTTGTATATCGTGGAATAATGGCCAGTTGGATGAGAGGTGGTCATTGGTTGGCAGACAACTCCCGTAGATGTTTTATTAATCCTGGGGTATCTCCAAGTCAGAGGTCCTGGAGAGAGAGTCCATGGTACTGAGCTCTCAGTCCCTGGTGGGACAACAGCTCTGCTTGACGGTACAAGACCAAGCCCAGCTGGGTGAATACCCACTTGTTTTGTCCACAGTAAACGACTTATGTCACTGCCTTACTTGTTGAATTAATGACTTGTTATAAGGAAAACACAAATGTACTGCTTCCTCTTTGCCAAGCAATATTCTGGTTATTGAGGAAACAAAGATAAATAAGGCATTGTTTTTGCCCTGAAGAAGCTTAAAACAATGTTTGAAAACTCTGCTGTCTTCTCGTGAAAATCTCTACCTCCCAAAGCTGAGGGATCGTTCATATACCAAGAGAACTAAATATTATTTTGGGCTTTGGAGTGGCTAGACAACTAAACTTTATCTAATTTATTGCCCATGGGACATGTTATTAATGTGGCTTTGAACTGAACTAACATGATGGTGCACTTGCACCATCTGGCAAAGGGACTGCTTCCGAAATCAACAACGTTTTCTACAAGTGAGTCAAAGAATTAAGCAGTTAATGGTCTCTGAACCATGGATGGAGCCTCAGGGAAATATGTTCTATAAATATCACTATAAGTACTGAAATCTGTTTGGGATCTTCCTACTCCCCTTTGCAGCTCTACTCTGAGCATTAGGGAAATCTGGATTTGAAAGGAAAACCTCAGTTTTTTTATTTTTTCCCTATTTGTCCAATTTTAGCAGCCCCTGAGGATTTGCTCAGGTTCTTCATGTGTTTCCTGGCATCTGAGCATATAGTGATATTTTTTGTATCAACTTTTAGTTCACAGAAAGCCTGGAAAGTTACCAGAATAACTGTCACATTTGTCGATTCTGCTTATTCCACCTTCTTTATACATGTTCCAAATAAGATTGTGTGAGTGGAGCAGCCAAAAAGGATTCTGAGGTTTTATTCTGAGGTTTTATCTTTATACAAGGTAAGGACCCAGCTCTTTAGTTTTCAAAACTCGTAAATGATGATAGTGATACTGACAATTATATATTGAGTTGTGACTGGATTGGGTCTGCACTCTGTATATGTCCTTACATCTCAGAGCAGTCATCAAAGTTGGTAATATTATTGCTAATGACATATGTAGGAACTGAAGCTTATGCAGGGAAAGTAATTTGCCAAAAATCACGCAGCTAATAAATTACATCTATTTGACTTCGAATTCCATGTTCCTTCTCTGCAGTCTTCTTGCTCCCCGAGGAACACTTCAGGTGTTGTGTGTATGCGTCTATAGCTGTTTATATTTGTTCATTCATTCATTCTTATTTTCTCTCAGTCATTTACCTTTTCAATTCATAGATGAATTTTCTACATCTACTAGGTTCAAAATGCTGTGTGAGGCATTCTGGTAAATAAAAGTAGAAGTGTAACCCAGTCGCTGCTCTTAAGGAATTCTAAATTAAGTTGGAGGATCAGACACAGACACACACACACACACACACACACACACACACACACGATGTCCAGGCTCTGATCACTGCAGTGGAAGAGCATAGCAGGCAAAGATTACCTGGATTCAGATGAGAGAGAAAGACATTATTTTTATCTGGGAGTATCACATGAAGCATGTACGTTATGACTGTGGAGAGAGGAATTTTATCTGACTGATTTTTTGAACCTTTTGAAAAGAGCACAATATGGATGAAAATCTCAGGATATGTTAGGATGCTAATTCTCAATTGTTTCTCCTTGTTGCAAAGCACATGTCCTCACATGCCCACATTTGAGTGTACTCAGATCTTGATGTTGGTTTGTTTGATATGACTTAGGCTAAAGGCTTTGTACAGTCTCTAGAGTGCTGGCCGAGCACTGAGGTGATGATAAATGGTGGTAGAACGTCTGTTAGTCCAATTAGAATGGAAAAAAGTGTATTGTCAGCGATTACTGCTTAATGAACAACCACAAGATCTCAGTGCCATACATTAATAACCGTCTCTTTCCCGTGCATCTTCAGGTCATCTGGGGGTCTGCAGCCCCAGCCTGCATTTAGCTGGAAGACTGCTCAAGCTATAGGTGGGGTTGCACTTGATCCTCTCCATGGCTTGGGCTCAGGTCTGCGCCATGTGTGCAGTGCTGGGGCCCAGGCTGAAGAGGTGGAAACTTCCAGGGATTCTTTTTTGATAGCCAGGGCAGTGGTGCAAATATACTCTAAAACCCTGGTTCAATCACATCTGCAAATGTCCTATTAGCCAAAGCTGATCACATGGCTTAGCCCAAAATCAAGGGCAGGATGAAGGGAGATGAGAGTGAACATTTTTTGAAGGATAATATAATCTACATATATAATGGAGAGGAAAAGACAGTTGGTCTAGGAAGGAGAAGAGTCCAAACACACTTGAAGAAGATAGTAAGATGTTAGACTATATTTAACCAGTAATAGTGAGACACTTTAGAGAGACTATGTAGAACACACCAGAAATTCTTGTACAAAAGGTTTGCGGGGAAAGACAAGAGGTAAGGAAGTAATTACAAAGCTCTTGTAATGATGGAGACCTAAAATGGGGAGGTGACAATTGGGATGTAAAGGAGCTGAAGATGTGAAGGGAATTTCTGAGTCAGAATTAGTTACTCTTGACACCTTGCTGGATGTAACAGTAGGGAGGAAGGTTCCAAGGTGGTGAAGCCCTCCTTAGAAAACATAGGAGAATGATTGGAGCTTTAGGTGAGGGGAAGCCTTGACACTTGGATAACATGGGGGATGGTGGTGCCTTGACAGAAATAGGAAGTCAGGTAGGGGCGGACTGAGGGGACAGAGATTGACACAGAGTGACCACTGCTGAGTAGGAGCAGTCCTGGGGAGAGCTGGGAAGCTGCGGGGACAGGCGGCAGGAAGAAGAAGTGTGTTGATGTGACCGAGACCCGAGACACGGGACCAGAAGAGATCAGAGTGGGATTTGGGACCGGAGGGCATGCTGGTGACCTTCCTGAGTGGGCGAGGCTGACACCAAGCAGTGGTGTGTGGGCAGGGCGTGCTGGTGAGTGTCAGGCACCATTCTTACAAGTTTGATAGAGATAACACGGCACTTGGGGGGTTATGATTGTTACCAGTGTTGTTGTGTTTTGCGTGGGTGTTATTTAAACTTCCTAAGATGAGGGAGAATGGCAATGGGGGGTGTTGTAGAGAGAGGAGGGTCCTCGCTCTGTGGGAGGAGGGACAGACAGATGAACGACTGTGTCTACGCAGTAGATATTCTGAAACAGAGATTTAACTTAAGTTAGTATAGTTTCTGTCCAAGTAAATTATCTGATGTTTAACTTTCTTTTCTTTTTTTTATGCTTTTATTTTATTTTAATTTTTATTGGAGTATAGTTGCTTTACAATATTGTGTTAGTTTCTACTAATTCTACTAAATTTTAAAGTCTCCTGTTCGTACACATTAATATGTAGATACAAAACATTTTTGTAGACGTCCACTGATTTTAATTGTGAGATTGGATGAACCAGTGAATGATCCGAGATGGCACTGGTACCCTGTCCTCTTGCTTCACTGGCCTGGTGGTGTGATTGCTAGTGATGTCTGAGTATACGTGGAGCCTACTGTAAACGAGTGTATGGTAAATTCTAGAGCAAGTTGCCCTGTAGTTGGTAATAACCAACTCTGTGCTTTTTAAAACAGAAATGTGTGCTAGTATTTAAATTTGAAAATTATAAGGACATATTTCCAGGAAGTCAGTTTTAAAAGCATACTGCTTTTCAGTATGGTTATGTATGCAGTGTGATACATGTTTCTTTCCCGTTAGATTTCATGTCCCTTTGAATATTACTTCAGTTTTCGTCTGTTGTTGTGTTCCATTTATCCCCACATTTCAGTTTCTGGCCCCAGTTCAACATTAACGCACACATGTGTAGGTGTTGACCCCTGCTGCAGGGTGAGTGTGCCTATCCTGATCAATCAATCACACGTGTCACTTTTCTTTAAGTTCCATGACTGCATGCAGACATTGGACATAAACCAATGTCTTTTACACACTCTAGAACTGATGACAAATTCAGCTCCTCCTGGTGTTTTAATGTCTGCCCTTTCTTGTTGTGTTTTTGTTTCACTCTCCCACAGAGCTGTGACCTGGATCAGCAGAGCATCGTTCACATTGTGCTGAGACCCCAGAGAAAAGTCCCAGAAAGGAACACAGCTCGAGGGGACAGCCCACAGAACACTGTGGGGGGCTCTGAGAGGGAGCCTGAGAGCCTAACTCGGGTGGACCTCAGCAGCTCCGTCCTCCCAGCCGACTCAGTGGGTCTGGCTATTATTCTGAAGGATGACAACGAGAATGGTGGCCCACCAGCTGGAAGGCCAGGTAATTGACTGGCTGTGGCTAGTAAAGCATTTTGTGTGATAAAATCTCCACGAAGAATGGCCTCACTGTGGTGTATTTAGTTCATGACAAGTTCTAAATCACCAGAAGGAGACATGACTAGAAGGAGAGTATGTGGATGTAAAATTTGAGGTGACACATTTAATAAGTACAACGAAACAGAGCTATCATATTAAGAATGAACATAAGGGATGGGGAAGGTGTCAGGACCATAGTGATAGTATCTTGGGTTTACTTTTGGAGGAACTAGGGGTGGTGGGGACATGTGATACATTGTGCTAGGCTCAAAATATATGATTAAGGTACCTATATGTCCCTCTCAACTTTTGCCTTTGTTTTCTTCTATTTCTTATTTTCTTAAAATACATTTTGGTTGATTATGTTTCTGATGATATAGAGAAATGTTAAAAAAGGAGAAAGAGAACTTCAGAGGTAATTTTAGTCATTCGCAGGTTCTAAGAACAAATGACAATGTCAGTAATATCCTTTGTGTGAAAGAATTCTTCCTTCTTTATGCTACAGCCCATTTCAAAAGTTTGTTTTGGCATGAATGACAATCCCTTTGTTATTCTGACAATATTAGTATGTTTCCTTTAGTCTTTTATTCTCCAGTCTAAATAGTCAAAGGTACAACAGGATTATTTTTGACTGTGTGTGACAGAAAACACAAAATAATAACAATGACTCGGCAAGGTAGAAGTTTATTTCTCTCCCACGTGCAATCAGTGAAGACGTAAGCAGCCCTGGGCTGGTATGGCTTTCACAGTGTCAGAGAATTCTGGAACCACCAAGATGGAGGCTTCTTGCTAAAATTACTAAATAAAATTTAATTAATATTTTTAAAATCATAGATGAAATTGAAAAAGAAAAAGGAAATTTTCCAGGGGTAAGTGAAGAAGTAGAAACAACACAGCTGTCTTTAAATAAAGGAATGAATAAACCAAGAATTTAAGTGCATGGTGCTCTGGTGGCCCTCAGGTGGTTGTGGAAGGAATGAAGGCTTCATGTCCTTTACATGGACTGGGCATCTAGGAGACTGAAAAAATAACTGAGAAATGGGGAAAATGAGATAAACCTAAACCTCTCAATACCTATGTTGTCCACAAGGAGGAATTAATATAAGTATCAGACCCAGGCTTTGGCACATCTGATGTCTCAAGCAGAATGTACGTAAAAGCATTCCAGAGAACACTTGGGGGTCATGGCCTCCAGAGATGAACAAGCCCTATTGAAGGGGTCCTCATGATACCCATTATAAGTCAAACAAAGGGATATTCTACCTTGAGTGGAGAAGAGCATACACCATAAACTAGAAGATTGGTTTCCCCCAAAACATGAGAAAATAAAATGACAGTTTGAAACAGAATACAAAACAAAAATGTTTTATGTTAATTAGGACATAAAATAAAAAATTGAAATCAAAACAGAAAACAGACATAATAGAAAAAGATAGCTATTGAATAGAGCATAAATTTAACTATTAGAATGAAAAAAAATCCTCAACAGATTGGTTAAAAGAGCAATTTGTCAATGCCAAAGAGACAGTTAATGAATTGGAAGATATATATGAGGGAATAGCCCATAATGTGACACAGGTTAAAATGTAAAAAAGTGGTTTTAGAGACTAGGATTTGGAATTAGGTGGCCTAACTTATATCTGATAGGAAATCTTTAGAGCAGGAGTCCCCAACCCGTGGGCCGTGGACCGGTACCGGTCATGGCCTGTTAGGAGCTCGGGCCGCACAGCAGGAGACGAGCGGTGGGCAAGCGAGCGAAGCTTCATCTGCCGCTCGCCGTCGCTCCCCGTCGCTCCCCGTCACTCCCCGTTGCTTGCATTACCGCCTGAACCACCCCCCACTCCCTGTCCGTGGAAAAATTGTCTTCCATGAAACCGGTCCCTGGTGCCAAAAAGGTTGGGGGCTGTTGCTTTAGAGCAAAATTAAATCCTTATGTGCATTATCTGAACATTAATAATAATATAAGCAGAATAATTATCATTTATAGGTATTCACATATTTTAATGTTTCCTAATGTTTGTGATTCTACTATCTTGTCACTGGTATTTATCTGAAGATTTAAAAAGTAGAATCTTATTATTTTATTTTATTATAAAATTGCCTTCAGTCTTCTTGAGAGTTTTATTTTATGATTATCAGTTTGGAATTATTGGCACCTTCCATTCTTTCTCTTGCTAGATCATAATACTTCTACTGAAGAAAATATTCTCTTCCTACAGTGATTGAGGTACCGGTACACTCTTAGAAAATTCTGCTAAATGTCTAATATTCTACTTAGATTTTAAGTGAAATATGTAATTGTTTCAACCCAAACAATAGATTAAAGAAACTCTCATAAATGTACATAGGACAGTAGCACTGTAGCAAGAGCTGGCAGGCTACTGTATGCTTTGTTATTGGACTGCTTAACCTTAACTTTCCATACAGACCTCATGTAGTCTGACCTCTAATCACCCTGTTTCTCATTTACCCACTGACCAGTGGTGGCCTGTTAGCTGCATGTGTTTTGCTGGCTGGGGACTGGGCTTGGCGACACTTGCTGGCATGCCAGGCGGCCAGCATCCTGTTGTGCTTCTCCCCCATCACCCCAGATCAGGAGTGAGCTCTCCTGTTACCTTTCCTGTGCTGAAAGGGTGGCGTAAGTTATGTTGCATCTGGAAGGAATCAGGCAAAAAAATATGGGTTATTCCAGGTCAACTTTAGGACTTTATTCTGCATTGAACTGAAACTCTGAATGGCAAGGAGTCATCCCTTAATCTTCTGAAGTGGAAAGAATCATCTCCTTTCCAGAACTTTCATACCTCTTATTATTTTGTTTTGTACTCTAGTTCCTTCTGTATGTACTTTATCTCTTTGAGGACAGGATATTTGTTCAATTTACTGTAGTTTCCCACAAAATCTCTAAGAAAAAATGGTGATCCGTGTTTCCTAAATTATGTAAAACTGTAAATGTAATAAGCCATTCATCAGAATTTTCTGTGTATTTAACTTTTAGAACTAATGACTTGTTCAACGTTATACAGAGAAAAATGAAACTTCACCTCTTAAAATACCTTGTTAATTTTACTGCTTGAATGAATGGAATACCCTGAATGGGATTACTTGAAATGACTGTGGGCAAACGACGTGCTTATACAATTATTTTTTTTAATAAAAATGACAGTTTAGAGTTCCTAGAGCAGTGACTCACAAACTCTAGTGGGAATGTTTGTTCAATGCTTATTCCAGGGCCAGAAGGTCTGATTCTGTTAGCTGAGGACAGAGATTCAGAAATCATGGTGCTGAGCACACTCCAAGAAATGCTGCCCTATAGCAAATGTTTTCCCACCTTTCAACTGTGAGATCTACCTAGAGTCTTCAACCAGGTGGTAGGAATGTTGAGAAAGACAGGTGGACAAACCAAGTCAATCCATAGTAGCAAGAGCAGGCTCATAATTACCAGTTTTATATACAAAGCATCTACAGTGCATTTTATTTGGGGAAAAAAAAGAAAAAACGTCCCTGGTTGAAAAATGTTTGAAAACTTCTGCCTTTAAGAAAGAAATTTAAGAGAAATAAACCGAATTTTCAGCATGTTTCCAGGGTGTCTGAATTAGACAAGGAAGAATTTAGGTGCTCGCCAAACGTGAGAGGGCTCTAAAAGGTGGAGAGCTGGGCTGTAGCCACAAAAGTAGATGCAACAAATAAGAACTGCAACTTGAGAGCATGTCTTTCAGGAATTTATAGGTGCAAAAGATAATTGGTCAATGTAAGAGGCATTGTCATGATCTACATTAATAGTCAGTTTATACTATTTGTATTTAGAAGCTAGGACATGTTAGATTATGATTTTTAAGAGGAAGTCAAAGAATTGAAATGAGTCATTTAAGAATTCCTTAGAGCAGTGGTTCTCAAGGTTCGGTACTCATTGGTGTCACCTGAGGGCTGGGTCCAGCTCCGTCTTCCTGGAGTGGTGACTGAGAATCTGCATTTCTAACAAGTTCCCAGGTCTTGCTGAAAGTATGGTTCCAGGAGCCATGCTTTGAGTAACACTGTCCTACACAGTAAGAATTTGTATTGTTTTAAAATATTGTTATTGTATATTATTTTATAAACATTTGAATAAGAACATCGAGTAAGCTATTCCTGGACTCCAAGGAACACATGCATGAACTAAGTTCACATATTATGTTTGTGTTTTCTTAAAGAAATACCATTCATCCCCTCCTGATAATCAGATGAAAGAAGCTATTGGATCTAGGAAAAAATAGGAATATTCTCCAATATTTGTCATGCAGTTAGCTAACTACTTAAACAAATAATTAGAGAATCCCTACTCTGTGCCAGGCACAATTCTAGGTGCTAGGATGTAGCAGGAAATAGTAACAGCCAAATTACCAACCCAACTGGATCTCATTCTAGTTGGGAAGAAGATAATAAACAAGCAAACAAACAAAAAGCCAAATAGCTAGTAAGTATATGTTCTCTGGTGAAAAAATTAGCATAGTAAAGGGAATACAGAGTGTTGGAAAGGGTGCTCTTTTGTATAAGGTGGTCAGAGGCCTCTCTCATGAAGTGACAATTGAGGAGAGCATTTCAAGGAGCATAGATTCAGGAATCTCAGGTAGAGGGGACAGCGAGTGTATGGACCCAAGGCAGGACCGTGCTTGGAAAGCAAGGAGGACGGCGTGGCTGGGGCAGAGGAAGTGAAACAGTAGGAGACAGGAAGTCAGAAAGGAAGACAGTAATACATGATCACAGTTGAAAGTGAAGACAATCTAATAAGAAAGTTTTACTCCTGTCAACTAATGTTGAAGCTGAAATTCTGAGGATGACATGCTACAGGGCTGAAAGGAATGGTAATTAGTATTCCTCTCCTTCTTCCTCTCCCTCTCCCTCAACAGAATCCATACCAACCTCCTCATAATCCTTCTCCATGGCAGCCATGTCCTCACAGGCCTCAGAAAACTGTAGGCTGTGTAGGGT